AAAAAAGATGTTTTACAAAAGAATGCAGCAATGTGTGACCCATAAGTCAATGTGGTTTAGGAAATTATTCTGAGGAGCATGGCAGTCAAAGCTGTGGGCTTTGTTTTCAAGGGCTTTGGGGGCATTGGGGAGAAAGATGTTTGAATGCTCTCATTTTTTTTAAGAGAGTAAGAGATTTTTTTTGGAGATCTATCTATCTATCTATCTATCTATCTATCTATCTATCTATCTAGATATATGAATTGTTAATAGACCTTTATTTTATTTTATTTATATGTGGTGCTGAGAATCAGACCTAGTGCCTCACACATGCTAGGCAAGTGCTCAACCACTGAGCTACAGCCCAATCCTTGATGCTCTCATCTTTCAAGTAATCTATTTTTCCCTGCTCTGAAGTTTTGAGGTCCTGTACTATAGAGGAAAATGTGGATCTGAATATGTGCCACTCTCTTCTGCAAATTCCCACGTATATTTATACTTTACTGTTTGTGGTGCTGGGGATGAAATCCCAGGCTCGTGGTATAGGCAAATGCTGTGCCTGTGAGCTATGCCCCCAGCCTGCCAAATTCCTAAGTTCATATAGAGGAAGTGGAATAAGTAAATGGAGTCCTGGTCCCCCCGCCAAAAGCAGGTTGACAACCTCTCTGTATGCCATGGACTAATTAGAATAAAAGTATATCTTGTGCTACCAAGTAGATGTATTCCTGATTTTGCAAACTGGAGCATATTTTAAAAGGACCTGGGGAAATCGTTCTATTTTAAAAAGCAGAGATCACCAACTGGAAGACAGCCAAATCTCTTTGACTAATGCAATTTTTACAATTTTTGGAACATGAATGCCTTGGTGTGCAGGAGAGGGGACATGCATTTCCCCAAACCCCACTGCTCTCTGTCGCTGTTCTCCCAGCTGCTTCCCACATCCATTTTGCTTGGCAGGTTCCCAAAGGCTTTGGAGTTTGCTACTCTCTTCTTTAAAGGGAGAGACAGAGACAGAGATATGACAGTCATTTTTTCTATATGCATACTCCAAGTTTGTCACTCTGTTCTTTTTTGTTGTTGTTGTTCTTTAAAGAAGGAATGTGTTGTGTGTGTGTGTGTGTGTGTGTGTGTCTCCACCCCTTGATGGTACTGCAGATTAATCAATCCCAAGGTCCCCAGGGCCTCGAATAAGCTAGGCAAGTGCTCTGTCACTGAGCTACATTCCCAGCCCAATATATATAATGGAGCTTATAGTAATTTTACTACATGCATCCTCATTCTTAATTATTTGTAAATCTGGACTTTCATGCATGGGGCTTTATGAAAGTAGGTTATGCTAAATTTCTTTTTTCTAAACAATTCAGCCATTCATTTTTCTTTCTTTCTTTTTTCTTTTCTTTCTTTTTTTTTTTGTGTGTGTGTGTGCTGGGGATTGAACCTAGGGCCTTGCACAGGTTAAGCACCCCTGAGCCACATCCCCAGTCCAATATTTCTGTAATTCTCCCTGAAAGAGAAGGGATTGCCTCATCTATTCTAATTTTCTTGCTTTCTGGAAATCTTCCTTAAGTTGCCAACTTTCTGCTTTAAAAAGTAGCAATTTCCATTTTGGGAAATAGGACAGTTATTTATTTTTGTAAACAAGTGGGAGATGAACATTGCAGGGAAAGGAACAGTGGAAGGACAGCCGCCCTGAGTCCAGGGCTCATGTTACAGTCTTTACCAGTCAGGACACTTGGAAAACAAGGAAGGAAGGGCTGGGCCAAGCAGATTCTAACTGCAGGGTGGGAAAAGATGGACTGCAAGCTAGTTCTCCTCATAACTTACTGCTTATTGCAGAAATGACACTTGGTTTTTAAATTCCAGGGGGAAATCAGGAGCTCCAAGTAAATGGGCCCTCCTAATGCCAGCCCCAGCTACTGCCTCTGATCTCAAACCAGTCCTCAGGGGGTGCTGCTTGCTTCTCAGAGGGAAGAGGTGCCAAGCAGCTTTCTAATGAACCCACAGGCGAAAAGTTTTCCCTTCCACTCAGGCAGCTCATCCCTTTTATGTCCCTCTCAGATGCCATGCGACTAGCGTTTTCTTTGCCAAAACTAAAACCATTGCCAGCAGTTTTCAGACCAAGTTTGTGGGTCCCACTAGACCCTGAATTTTGAAATTAAAAGACTTCTATGGCTGTTTCAGGAAAAAGGACAATCACCCAGTTCAGGCCCGGGCAGGTTAAAGAGGCTTTTGGTTCACCACTGAGATTTTTTAATTTCATGGAGGGCTCTGCCAGGCTTCTCTTCCCCAGGTTCCTAATGGTCTTGCTAAATTGTTCCCTTGGTTGCCCAATTCCTTGGAAATGGCTGCGATGATGGGGGTCAAGTCTTGTGCTCTATGCTGAGCCAACAAGGGGCTCTGCCATAATGAGGGTGACACAAGGACAGCCTCTGGACAGCACCTAGCATTCAGCAGACTCTCGATGAGTTCTTAACAGCTCATTATTTAACAAATATTTATTTTTTGGTACTAAGGATTGAACCTAGGAGCACTTTACCACTGAGCCACATTCCAGCCCTTTTCATTTTTAGACAGGGTCTCACTAAGTTGCTTAGGACCTGGCTAAGTTGCTGAGACTGGCCTCAAACTTGTGATCCTCTTGCCTTAGCCTGTGAGTCCCTGAGATTACAGGTGTGTATTACTGCACCCAGTTTAACAAATGTTTATTGAGGGTCTATGATTACCTAGCATTGTATGGGCAATTATAATAAATTAATACAATGTTACTCTTATAGAACTCAATATTACTGTGCTGAACAATATGGTAACCACTGGCCACAGTGGCTATTTAAATAAAAAATGAGTTAAACGTTCAGTTCCTAGTTGCAGTAGTCACATTTCAAGTACTCAACAGCCACATGTGGCTAGTGGCTGTCATTTTGGATGGTGTAGTTTATAGATCATTTCCATTATCACATAGAATTTATTAACAGTGCTGCCTAGAATGGAAGTCAGACAAGGAAACAAATCATCACTCATACAAAGTCAAAAGCTTGGGGCTGGGGATGTGGCTCAAGCGGTAGCGCACTCGCCTGGCATGCATGCGGCCCGGGTTCGATCCTCAGCACCACATACAAACAAAGATGTTGTGTCCGCCGAAAACTAAAATAAATAAATATTTAAAAAAAAAAAAAAAGAGCAAAATGTGGCCAAAGCTCTTAAAATCTTAAAAAAAAAAAACAAAGTCAAAAGCTCCGTTTGAAATCTGTAATTTAAATTTGGTGCAGTAGGGGCTATGATAAAGGTACGTGGAAAGTACCATGTGCATGCAGAATAGGGGCAACTAACTCTCTAACTCATGGCCACTCTAACTCACGGTCCAGCCACAGAGATAAAATCTTTTTTCTACTCCAATGACAACCTCTACTTCTCATCTTTATAGATAATCATTAGGAAAAACAGATACTCTGTGATAAAGTTGAAGCAATTTTCCATTATCAGAACTAAGTGGGCACTATTTTGTATTTGCTACTCAGAATCAAGGAAAAAGTTCAGACCCAGCAGAAATGCCAGAAAGTAATTTAAATGGATTTTTTTTTCTGTGACTCTATTTTTTATTTACACAGAATATTTTTTTATTCTGTGACTAATTCAAATCAACTAGTATTATTGAGCACATATTAGATCTTACCTAAGGATGAGTAATAGACATTCTCTGCTATAGAGGTAAGACAAACATGTACAAAATCATAATATTTAGCAGAGAGTTATAGAGGTTCACAATGCCTAAGAGTTAATTCAAAAGGAGGGAAACTTCATAGGGAAGATGGTATCTGAACTTGTCCCTAAGAGGATACTCAGCATTCCGTAGGTAGGGACAGAGGCCTGAAAACCACATGGCAGATTTTGAGAATGACAAGAATACCGTGCACACAGTTTCATGTCTGAAATTCAACTAGACAAACAGAGCTAGAGCAAGGGAAGCAAAGTCAAAATCCAAAACTGTTTTTATTTATTATTAATTATTTAATTAATTTTATTAATTCTTGGTGAAGCAAAATCTTCATACTGGGGCCCTCATGGAGGTCTTCAAGGCCACACCAAGGAGTTTCTGCTTTGTTCTGTAGCCTGCAGGAGCCATCCAAGGCATTTAAAAAGGAGAGAGGCATCATCAGATCTGTATGTAAGAGAACTCTGGCAGTCCTGAGCTGGCAATAATGATTGATGGAGTGTAGAGAGTGAGGGTCTGGGGTCGAGGGCCCAGCTGAGAGTCTCATTCAATAGAAACGTAAGAGGCAGAATGAGGACACAGACAGCTTGAGTAGAAAGGAGGTGTGGCCTGTGTGTCATCCAGCCATGGACATGACAAATGTAAGTGCTGGGAAGTAACCACCAGTATAGCATTCTATTATCCACAGGGCAGCCCTCGGACTGCTTGCCTTTGGTCACTACTGAACTGAAATAAAGGGGATAGGGCTGGGGGTATAACTCAATGGTGGAGAGCTTGTCTAGCATGCATGAGGCCCTGGGTTCCATCCCCAAGATGAAAAAGAAAGAAAACAGAGTGCTGACTGGAGTCTCTATCTGCATGTGGCTATGGGTAGAGTCCACTATTTTTGTGCTCATCTCCCAGGTCACATTAGGCAGATGGAGAAGATTTGACCTCCATGAGATCTGGTCATCTTGCAAAAGCATACCATTAATCAGAAAGAGTCTCCACTCCTGAAAAACAAAGAGCTTGAAGTATATATACTATTGTATGGTTTGGATATAAGGTAAAGGCATCCCCCAAAGGTTCCTGTGTTAATGCAGGGGTGAAATGATTAGATTATAAGAGCCATAACCTGATCAGAGGATTAATCCATTAGATGGATTGTTAATTTGCACAGATTTCTGTGTAGTAACTGTAGGCATGTGGTGTGTGGCTGGAAGAAGTGGACCACTAAAGTGGAGACATGCCTTGGGGATTATATATTTTGTCTCTGGCTCCTCATACACTCCCTTTTTCTTTCTCTCTGCTTCCTGGTTGCCACATCCTTCAGCTATGATGTTCTGCTTAGCAGTGGGTTCAGAGCAATGGAGTCTGCCGACCATGAAGTCAACTGCTGAAACTGTGAGCCAAACTTTTCCTTCTCTAAAATGTTCTTGTCAGGTATTTTTTAATATATATATATATTAAAAATGTGTGTGTGTGTATGTGTATACACACACACATACATTTATTTTTTTAGTTATAGGTGGACATAATATCTTCATTTTTTTTTTTTAATGTGGTGCTGACGATCGAACCCAGTGCCCCACACGTGGTAGGTGAGCGCTCTACCTCTGAGCCACAACCCTAGCCCTCCTGTCAGGTATTTTGGTGAAAGCAACAAAAATCTGACTAACACAATTATCTAGGATGAGTCAGCAGAAATCTCTATGTTAAAATGAAGAAAAAGTTAAAAATAATAGCAGAAATCAAAACCTCTGTATTCCTATGTATATATGTGTCTGAGAAGTTACTTCAGCCTCAAAGCTGTTTGTGGTGGAGAGTACTTGATGGCCACTTAAAATTACACACCACTTGACTACAGTTTTCAGCATCCATTGCACTAAGATCTGGTCATACATCTGAGTTACGTCTAATGGAATGTTAGAGGAAATAACGTCTGCAACTTCCAGGCCTGGCCCATAAAATCCTCCAACGAGTAGTCCTCCAAACTTTCTTTCCTTTTTCGATGCAGGCAAGCATGTTGGATCTTGAATGTCCCTCAAAGGCCCACATGTTAAAGGCTTGGTTCTCAGTCTGTGGCGCTATTAGGAGGTGGTGGAACCTCTAGGAGGTGGGGTCTAGTACAAGGAAGTTAGGTCACTGGGGAAGGGTTGTGCCTTGAAGAGGATAATGAGACCCCAGGCTTCTTCCTTTCTCTCTTTCATGTTTGAGCCATGAAGGGAACAGTTTCCTCTACCACATGTTCCTGCCATGATGTACTGCTTCACCACAGATCCTAAATCAACAGAGACAATTGCCTGTGGACCAATACCTCTGAAATCATGAGCCAAAATAAATTTTTCCTCCTTATAAGTTATTTATCTTGTAAGTTTTTTTTTTGTTGTTGTTGTTGTTGTTGCAGAGGCAGAAAACTGACAAATACAGAAGGCTTCAAAGCCAATGCCAAAGATAGAGTCATAAGACAGAAAGCAGCCCAGATCCCAAAATGACCACTTGGAGAACTGCCTGATAATAGGAACATCCATTTGGGTATTTACACAGGCTAGAAATAAACTTCTACAGTTTTAGAGCCAATTTATATTTGGGGGTTTTGTTACAGGAGCCAGCATGACCTTAACTAACACAAACTCTTTTAACACTTGCTCTATTTTGTATTGGACTTATCTGCACACTTTTCTAAATGCCCCTTTTAGAATATAAACACTTATTTTTCCTTGTAGTTGCTTCACTGGCTTCTAAGTCTATCAAAGAGACTTCAGTTTGCAAGAATTGTTATTCCGCATTAAAAAGACGTAGAAGTGTTCAGCTACTTGGTCCTCTAAAGACAGAGAGCCAATAAGGGAACAATGCTTGGATTCCAGTTCTTTGAGGTCTATGGCATCTCGTCTCACTGAAAAGACAGAGAAGCACAACATCCTTGAGGTATTACAAAAAAAAAAAAATCAGCCAAGCATGGGGGTGCATACCTGTAATCCCAGTGGCTCAGGAGCCTGAGGCAGAAGAATCGCAAGTTCAAAGCCAGCCTCAGCAAAAGTGAGGCACTAAGCAGCTCAGTGAGACCCTGTCTCTAAATAAAATACAAAATAGGGCTGGGGATGTGGTTCAGTGGTCAAGTGCCCCTGAGTTCAATCCCTGGTACTCCCCGCCAAAAAAAAAAAAATCACTTGTTCAGGGCCAGCCTGGGTAACATAGCAAGACCCAGTCTCAAAAAAAAAAAAAGAAAGAAAGAAAAATTAATCCTATTTACCAATAGCAAGATCTAAATAAAGGCACATCATAATTTACTAATGCAGTTCCAACTCTACATAACTGTGTGACCCAAGGAAAAAACACAACTTTTCTAGGTCCCAGACTTCTCACTTAGAAAATAAGGAAGGGGTTGGAGGTGTAGCTCAGTAGTAGAGCACTTGCCTAGCCCACGCAGGGTCTTGGACTTGAGCCCCGGCACCACCACAAACCATAAAGAAGGATCTAAATCATAAAGCCCCTATAGTGGGGCTTAGGTTGTGGCTCAGTGGTAGTGCATTCGCTTAGCACGGGTGAGGCACTGGGTTCAATCCTCAGCACCACATAAAAATAAATAAAGTGTCAAGCTATACCTAAAAAAAAAAATTAAAAAAAATAAAATAAAACCCCTATAGTTATTTCTGGCTTTAACATCTCTGGCATCTATTTACCAGTCAATCAATCTGTTAAATTGAATTGCTAAGTTTATTGGAAAATTCATTAATCTATCCAAATAGGGTATTTTTAGAATTTTCAACCTTTAATGAAAGTAAAACCTAATAAAACACTAAGCTGGGTGTTAGTTTAAAGGACAAATCTAGTTAAGATGTTTGAATACCTTCATTTTTGAAAAATCCTCTCCTATGATAGTTTGTTTTTTCCCCCAGTGTTGGGGATTGAACCCAGGGCGTTAGTTCATGATAGGCAAGTGTTTACCACTGAGCTACACTCCCAGTCCAATGCTATTGTGTTTTAAACTACATTTCATGGATTATCGGTGACGGCATATATTTTTAAGGTATCTATTAGCCATCTGTATTTCCGTTTTCATAGATCATTTAGTTTTAAAACGAGGAAATTGCAGTAGGAAAACAGGAGGAGGCATTTCTGTGTCTGTTAGCCAGCGCCAACTCAAGGGGGCTAAAGCATCTTGCTCAGAAATGTCGCCAGCTCAGCCTAGTTGGAATTATAGGATCCTAGCCTTGGTTCAGCCCTGTGCCTCCCAGAGTATGCCTGCCTTTCATTATGTGTTAAATTCAATGGAATAAAAGTGGCTGCAAGCATAGCATTGTGGGGTTCCATATTTATTCTCTTTCTGTGACAGCCGCATCCAATTTTCTCAGTTGAGAAGTCAAAGGGGTTACAAATTCCACCCAGGACCTGGAAATCCAGCTGGGCTGTTTGAGTTTCTTTCTGCTTCTCCATGAATAAAGATTCTACAGAGGAGCCCTATACAAACAATGCTGCTAATGATGTGTGAGGCAGAAGGGTCCTCAAACTCAACTGGCTGGGGAGATACTGGCCTTGCCTGGCTAACTCTAGCACAGAAATTTATTTTTGCCAAAAAAACTCTGTAACTAGATATACACTTGAAGTACACGGATGGTGGAAGTGTTGAATCAGAAGGCTTTTTTTTCCCCCCTGCGTTTCCAAACCTAATCATGCTTTGCAGCCACAGTACTGTCCTGAAGTCACCCTCGCATGTAGGTGATATGGTGCTTGTGCAGTGATTCAGATGATGGGAAAACAACAACAACAACCCTCTTCTGCCATCTGGGTTCTATCAGCAAAACAAAACAATGCTGTTGATTTCAAAAGCATTTAGAAATTCAGTTAAAAAAAAAAAAAAACTTCAAGAAACTGACATGAGGAATGAGGAACCTTTGCAGAACATGATCACTGGCCAGAGCCTAGAGTTCAAGTCTAGGAAACATTAGCAGAAATGCCCCAGCAGATCACAACTAGTGGAACAAGAATAGGGAGAAAGGAGTGTTCTCAGTCCTGTGCAGAAAGGCCGCGCCCCATGGATGTTGCTCTCCAGGATGGCTAAGTTTGAGGCAATGATGCACCGCAAACAAATGTATGCTAATGGCACACAGCAGTACCATGGTTTCCCCCTCTCCCTGGCTGCATTCAAGTAGCCTCATTTTTTTCTACTCATATGTGCCCCATTTACTTCACCACAGAAAGCCTAGGCTATGAGTGGCACCCACAGATGAAAGCAAGAACGGGAATGTAAAAACGCATCCCGATGACAGCTTCCAGCTTGAAATGCCTGGGCCCCTAGGAAAATTTCAGTGGTAAGAAATGTGTTCATGTTTGTGTGGAGAGAAACCACATACCCAACACTAAAAGCCAATATCAACAACCAAAAAGTCAATGGAAAACACACAGCATCACGCAGCAAGTATAATATGACCTGATTCAGTTCAGTAGGGAGAGGCAAGGGATGGTGTGGGGCAAATGATAAAATGACTGCATTTTTCCAATATTAAAAAAAACACTGACAAAGACAGAGGCAAAAGCAGAGGTACCTGTATAGTCTTTTTGTGTGGGGGGGGATTGAACTTGGGGCACTTGACCACTGAGCCACACCCCAGCCCTATTTTGTATTTTCTTTAGAAAATACAAAGGGTCTCACTGAGTTGCTTAGTGCCTCGAAGTTGCTGAGGCTGGATTTGAACTTGTGATCCACCTGCCTCGGCCTCTTGAGTCACTGAAATTACAAGTGTGTGCCACTGCGTTTGGCTACCTGTATAGTCTTTATCCCAACTCCTAAGCAGACTTGGGTAACTCCCCAAACTCCCCATGACATGTAGATTGGTGAACCCATATATTTTAAAAAAAACTTTTCTTTTCCCTTCTCTCCCACAATCACTTCCCACCCCTAACATATTAACCAAAGAGAAATGATGTGTGTATGTGTGTGTGTGTGTGTATGTGTGTGTGTATACACACACATACACACACACACATAACAACCCTCTTCTGCCATCTGGGTTCTATCAGCAAAACAAAACAATGCTGTTGATTTCAAAAGCATGTTGCGTGTGTGTATAATTTTTTTTTTGAGACTGGGTCTTGCCATTCTTGCCCACGCTGCCCTTGAACTCCTTCTACCTCAGCTTTCCAGATAGCTGACTATAGGCACTGCCACCATACCCTCCTTGCTTAAAGTCACTATTTACTGAGTGCTGACTGAATACATTGAACCAAGGGTTGAAGGATGGGGTGAACAGAAAGAAGCCTGGACAGGTGAAAAATAGCAAGAAAAGGAAGACAAAAATCTTTTTTCCTAGTTCAGCAGTGCAAGCAGCCAGGCCAGAAATATCCAGGGAAGGAGAGATAATCACAGGCCAGAGAGCACTGAGGGGTTGAGGAGCAGGGCCAAGTAACCATTCCTATTAAATTCTGGGCAGCAGCTATACCTGTTTGGTTATCCCGTTTGAACAAACAGAACTTTGAGATGATTTGTATGCATAGAAGTAAGCATTCCTTGACCCATTAAACCTCCTCTGACAGAAACAAACAACTGTTTTATTGAAACAAAACACACATAGAGTAAAATGCACAAATATTAAATATACAACACGATGGATTTCTACATATGCACATACCCATGAAACCACCACCCAGATCAAGAACATCTGACCTGGGACAAACCAAACTGGTATGCTGCAGAAAAACGTGGGAACAGAATCCAGATGGATCTCTTATGTGCCTTTAAAAAGTTGTTTCAGGTCAGTTGTTTCAGCTCAGTGCAGAGTGCATGCTCATGCTCCATCCCCAGCACCAATGACTAAATATGTAAGTTGTTTTATTGCTGTCATTGATTTGATTCTGATATTTACAGGAAGTTTGCTCTTTCTAGGGGCTTAGATATGGGAGGTCAACTCAAGAAGAATCTAGGAAACAATTCTCTCCTCAGTTTAGGGATCCCTTGAGATTCCTAACATTTAAGAAAACATTCAGGTTTCAACCTACTGCTGCCACATGTTGACATCCCTGATGTTTAGGAACAGGCTGTGAAGCAGTTTAACTTTTATGTGTAACCTGGGTGCTTTCTCTTCCCTAACACCACAAACTTGTAATTCTCAACAGCTTTTTTATTTTTTTCTTGAGTAAGAAATTTCTTCTTGTGGTGGAATAGCAATGATTGACAATGTCATTTTCATGTCTTCCATTTCCTTTTCCAGCTTTGTCTCAGAATCCAAAGGAATGGATTAAAAAAAGGAAAGGGTTAAAAAATAAAACTTGATTTAAAAAAATAAGCAA